GTAATCCCATGTATTTTACAGTGGCGAAATCATCCGGAGCTGCTTCTGAGGGCCGCAGCTGGCAGCTACAAATATCCAGTATGCTTTAAACCCCGAAAACTCGCTATCAAAGTTGTACTTTACTTTAATAATATTAACAAATTATTATTCCGGAGGGTTATATTAGGTAGTCTTCACTCTAGCCCCTTCTAGTTCTCGTGTTTTATTTTGTAAAAACTTTGTAATTAGTATACATTTTGGCGTCGCAAAGAAGCCTTAAGACTCACTGCTTTGCCTGAATAACTGTTAAATTTAAGTTCTTCTCAAAACTTTGTGTTTTTAAAGAACTGCAGCACATAATTGCAAAGAAGAACAAGTCGACTTGGAGAAAACTTTGACGAGTACAAGACAAAGACAATTTTTAGCACTAAGAAATCACGACATAAAAAAAATAGAAAAGACTGGAGTTAAGACTACCTCTTATATCTTTGCGGAATAATAATCTGTTAATATTTTTAAGTACAGTACAACTTTGATTGCGAATTTTCGAGGTTCAAAGCATACCGCTTATTTGTAGCTGCCAGCCGTGACCTTCAGAAGCGGCTTCGGATGAGTTTGCCACGGTAAAATACATGGGATTACTGTGAAAATAATGGGTTTTTTTCAGTTTTACATCCTATTCCGGTTCGTAGCTCCCAATGTCAAGAAATCGCCACCTCCAAATTTTGACATTTTGTAGGGAAAAAAATTTTACACAAAATTAATCTTTTTTTAAAAAATTTGAAGACATATTTTTTTTTCTATGTTTGATTGAAATTTTGTTTTTATTATATCTTTGTGTATTTTTATCAAAATTAAACTATTTAACATTTTTTTAGAAATTCAGGACATAATAAATGCGAAAAAAAAACCGTTGGATTTCAGTAAGAACGGGCCAAATTACAAAGCTCCAAATATAGGCATGTCAAGCGGCAACCTGGCAAATTTTGCAACTTTGAGAGGGGTGTTACTTGGCAGGGAATTCACTTCTCTAGGTTTTCTTTGTGGCTTTCTTTATGCTGGCCTAGACTCTACTAATCGGCGAAAAATCAAAAAAATTTGAGAGGGTGATGTTCAAACGTGTGCGATT